TTGGGGGTTGGTGGAGGGGCAGACATTCCATCTAAGCACATGGGGGCGGGGTACAGGCTCACCAGCCCCAGGGATCAGACACAGACACACCTGTAGCCCGACCCCCACCACACCCAACCAGATACTACATGCCACCTTCCAGGCCGTAATGAAGCACCCCGTTTCCTCCCTGCCCCCCACAGCCCTGTTCCTCGATTGCCTAATGAAGCGGAGACAGGAGAGTGGCTACCTCATTGAAGAGATCGGGGATGTGCTGCTGGCCCGGGTGAGGGTGCCCTGCCCGCCCCCTCTTCCCAGCCAGGGGCCAGGTCCTGAGCCCTCCCCACTCGAGTCCAAGGGCCTAGACCCCAAGCCTGTCCTGCTACTCTAGGCTCCCATCCCCATGCGAGGCCCTGTTCTTGCCCAGCCCCCCTGAGACACCTCCCTGGCCTGAATCTCTCTGTAGTTTGATGGTGCTGAGGGCTCCTGGTTCCAGAAAATCTCCTCTCGCTTCTGCAGCCGCCAGTCGTTTGCCTTAGAGCAGCTCAAAGCCAAGCAGCGCAAGGAGCCTCGATTCTGTGCCTTCGTGCAGGTGAGGTGGGGGTCTGGGCTCCGGCGTCCCAGGGCAGGAGGGGGCTGGGGACCTGGACTCCTAGGAGAGAGCTGGTGTCCCGGCCCTGGGGTGGGCCTGGGCCACCTCAGCAGCATTTTCCCCGCAGGAGGCTGAGAGCCGTCCGCGGTGTCGCCGCCTGCAGCTGAAGGACATGATCCCCACGGAGATGCAGCGCCTGACCAAGTACCCGCTGCTCCTGCAGAGCATCGGGCAGAACACAGGTACTGCCTGACCAGCCCCTGCGGGCCTCAGCTCTCCTCCCCTGTCCTTGGGTGCCGCCTGCAGGGGCGGGGCTCACCGGGCCGGTCTCTCCCCTGCCTGCAGAAGAGCCTGCGGAGCGAGAGAAAGTGGAGCTGGCAGCCGAGTGCTGCCGGGAAATCCTGCACCACGTCAACCAGGCCGTGCGCGACATGGAGGACCTGCTGGTGAGCCTTGGCACAGCCCTGCGCTGGGGCAGGAGGTGGTGTGTGCGCAGGGGCAGGCCCCACCTCCACTTGGCCCTCAGCAACTCCCTCTCAGGGTCACTGGAGGTCAGGCCTGGCTCTTAGCTTGTCCCCCCGGGGTCACTGCGGGTCAGTCTCTGCATTGGGCTTGTCCCTGTAACACTCGGGTCTCTGCTTCAGCGGCTTAAGGATTATCAGCGGCGCCTGGATTTGTCCCACCTGCGGCAGAGCAGCGACCCCATGCTGAGCGAGTTCAAGGTGGGCCCTGCCTGCCCTTCCCTCCCTCCTTTCGGCCCACCCTGGCCCTGCTGCTCAGGGGGTCTCTGAAACAGCCCCCAGCCCACCCTGCCCGTCTGATAATGTGCCCCACCTCGTGCCCATCGTGACCCATGACTGATCCCCGCCCCATGGTCATCCTGCCCTGCTGTCCCCTGTGTGGGCCACCGCTGCTCCTGGACATCAGAACCTGGACATCACCAAGAAGAAGTTGGTCCACGAGGGCCCACTGACATGGCGGGTGACGAAGGACAAGGCTGTGGGTGAGTGCCAGGGTGGCAGCGGGCGGGGGTCCGGGCCGTGTGGGGGCTCTGCATGAGCTCTTGCCCTGGCCCACCGCGCAGAGGTCCACGTGCTGCTGCTGGACGACCTGCTGCTGCTGCTCCAGCGCCAGGACGAGCGGCTGCTGCTCAAGTCACACAGCCGGACGCTGACACCCACGCCCGACGGCAAGACCATGCTGCGGCCCGTGCTGCGGCTCACCTCCGCCATGACCCGAGAGGTGGCCACCGGTGAGCACGGCCGTGATCTGGGCTCACTCGAGCAGAGCTTCCCGGCGGGGTGGGGAGTGGGCATTCTGAGGAGGGGAGGCCACTGCAGAGGCTGAGCAGGGGGCGGCCTGGTGGCCAAGGTGGGGTGGGCAGGGCCAGGCTGAGTGTGTTTATTGAGTGGGGTGGAACCGGCTCTGGGCATTTGCCCAGAGGCCCACCGAGGAGGGCTTTGCAAACCGGCTGCCCAGAAGTTGCACCAGGGCCACGGACACTGGGAGTGACTGTGTGGTGGGGGTGGCTGGAGGGTTTGTGTAGCAGAGCCAGCCGGGGACTTGTGGCCTGATTCCATAAGGGGTGTGACAGAGGGAGGGCACACAGGGCCCTGGATAGTTATGAGCAGGACAGTGAGGGGTGAACTGAGTCATGGGACCCCTGAGGGTGCTGCCTTCTGGGGAAGCTTCCCTAGCCTCCAGCCTATGCCCGAGGAGGGACCCTGCTCTGAGCCTCGTCTCTTCCCCCTGCAGATCACAAAGCCTTCTATGTCATTTTTACCTGGGACCAGGAGGCCCAGATATATGAGCTGGTGGCACAGACAGTGTCTGAGCGGAAAAAGTAAGGGGGGTCTGGGTTCTGAGCGTGGGCGGGGAGGCCCCGGCACAGCAGCTGGTGGCTCTGACTGCCCAGGGCCTTGGCCTGTCTCCCAGCTGGTGTGCCCTTATCACTGAGACTGCTGGATCCCTGAAGGTTCCCGCCCCTGCCTCCCGCCCTAAGCCCCGGCCCAGCCCCAGCAGGTAGGTGAGGGGGGCCAGGGCAGGAGCTGGAGTTCCCGGCTGTCAGAAAGCAGGGCTGGCTGCCCTGTGCATGCCCAGAACCTCAGCCCCAGCTCCGTCTTTGTGTGCGTGCGTGTGCCTGTCAGCCCCACCATGGCCCTGTCTGTCTCCTATCTCCAGGCCTTTCTGTCTTCCATTGTCTGGGCCTCTCTGTCTCCCTATCTCCCAGCCTCGATGTCTGTCTCTGTCTCCGGACCTCCCCATCTCCCCACCTCCAGCTGTCTGTCTCCCTGACCCTGCTGCCCCCCGGGGCCAGGGATGTAGGGTCACCTAGCACTTCCTCCCCTCAGCACCCGAGAACCCCTCCTTAGCAGCTCTGAGAACGGCAACGGTGGCCGAGAGATGCCTCCAGCTGACGGTGAGGCTGGGGGCAGTGGGGGAGGGGCCGGGTGGGGATATCTTGGGTGACGGGGCGTCCATAGGAAGCCCGGCAGGACCTGAGCACCCTCCCTGTTCCCCCACCCAGCCCGGACTGAGAGAATTCTCAGCGACCTCCTGCCCTTCTGCAGACCAGGCCCCGAGGGCCAGCTTGCTGCCACGGCCCTTCGGAAAGGTAGCTCAGCCCCGCACCCCCAGGGTGGCCCCCAGCCCAAACCACCTCTGTTCCTGTCTAATTCCTGCATGCCCAGCTGTCAGAGAATACGTGTACCCACCCAGCTTGCATCGCCGTCTTGGGTGGCCCCACGTCCCTCTTCCTTCCACAGCCGCCAACCCTTCTTTGACCCTAAATTCAGCCTCTCCCTGGACGCTTTCCACCCTTTCCACAGTTGTCCCTGTCCCAACCCTAACCTCAGCCACACCTCTGCACCCTTTTGAATCTCCCAACCCCATGTGCTCAGCCTTGCCTGGACCCACCCTCACCTCTAGCCTTGGCAGGCCTTGGGCCTCTCCCCACCCCACACATGTGCCCCCCTGACTCCACCCTCTGTCCCTGCCAGTGCTGTCCCTGAAGCAGCTCCTGTTTCCTGCTGGGGAAGACAGTGGGGCAGGGCCTCCCCGAGATGGAGATGGGGGCCCAGGGGGTGGCCCCCTGAGCCCAGCACAGACCCAGGAGATCCAGGAGAACCTGCTCGGCCTGGAGGAAACCATAAAGCAGCTGGAGGTGGGGCGCAGCACGGGGGACCCTGAGCGGGCTGGGGAAGGAAGGGGCCCCCCTCACAAGTGACCCCCTCAGGAGCTGGAGGAGGAACTCTGCCGCCTACGACCACTCCTGTCTCAGCTCGGGGGGAATCCTGGCCCCCAATCTGGCTGTACCTGAGGTCCCTGTCCAGGCAGGTGAGTGGGGGACCTGGGGGTGGACGCTGCTCTGAGAGGAGGGACCACAGTGGTCCCTCTACAGCCCCAGCCCGCAGGTCTCTCCCTCTGCCTTTGTCTTTTCTAAATCTTCCTGTTCCACCTGCTGTCTCCCATCTCTGCATCTCTGCCCACCTCCCTCTCTCTCCCCTCTCCCTGTCCGTCTCCCCCTCTCCGTCTCTCCCTGCCTCCTGTCTTCTGCGTGCCCCAGGCCTTCCGCAAGGAGAGGAAGGGGGAGAGGACGTGCAGGGGGCCGCCCCCACCCCCACAGCTGCCGCAGCATCTCATACCCCGAGGGCCTGAGGAGAAGAAGCCGCTGCCAGGCCACGCCTGGGAGGGGCCCAGCTGGGGTCACCGTGTCCCCATTGGCCTCGGCCTTCTCCCTCCTGCCTCTGCTTGGGGGACTCAGGGCTTCATTCCAGGGTGGGCACCACAGCGACCCCCAGGTCCCGGGCCATCTCAGTATTGCCTGTGGGGGCCACCCCTCCATCCCTCACCCCGAAGTGCCTTTGCTCTGTTTTTATACCCTGAATTGGAGGTTTATTTTTTAATATATATTATCTAAGGAGAGGTCTGTGTTTGTGAGGGTGGGGTGGGGCCTGGCGTGGTGTCTGGAACCCTCCGTGACTGGTGGCGACGTCCCAGGGCTGTCTGCCATGTTGGCTCTGTGCCTCTCGCCTTGCTCTGGTGGTTCATTCACTGGTTCCTTGAACAGTTCTCCCCAGGTACCCCCACACACAGGGTGCGAGAGCACCCCCCAACCTTCCCTCCCAGCTCCCACCACAAGCCCCCACGGTCGACGCTGGGCACCCCACATCTCACTCTGCTCTTTTATTTTTGTAGTAAACTCTGGAGGTGGCTGTGAGGGTCGTGGGGGGCTGGTGGGGAGGGGGCCCCTCCTGGGTGGGGGCTGGGGGCGGGGTTATTGCTCTGAGCTCCCTGTCCCCAGGGGGGCCTGTGTGGGAGGGTGTCAGGACTGGGGCCGGCACAGGGGGTTGGAGACACGGCCACACAAACACGGAGGTCACAGCACAGGGGCGGGCGGGGGAGGCTGGGCGCCGTATTGCACTTCGGGAGTGGGGCCAGGTGGGGACCCCCTCAAACTGGAGCCTAGGGAGGAGGCTGGAGGCCATCACTTCCCTCCCCCTGCTATGGAGGGGGAGGTGAGACCCCCACTGTGGGGCTGGGGAAGAAGGAGCCCGGGGCAGCGACGTGCCGGCCCTGGGAGGGGCCGAGGGTGGTCCTGGGCCTTGGACAGCACGTCAAGGGCAGATGGGGGGCTGCCCTGGGCCCCGCCTCTGTAGAACCCATCAGCCCACGCCTGCTCAGCTGCCAGCCCCCCCTTTGCCCGCCTTGGCCTTGGGGGGCACGGGGAGGCCCTCGTCGCCCTCGCTGTCAGAGCTGCAGCCGCTGACGTCGGTGATCTCCAGCTCCGAGTCGCTGTCCTCCTTCCCACCCAGCGCAGCCTCGGAGCCCCCAGCCCCAGGCAGCGCCAGGCGGGGGGCCGCCGCCAGGCCTGAGGGTCGCTCGGGGCCCAGGCCCTCCCCCGTCGCAGCAAGCAGGGGTGCGGCTGTGGGGCCTCCCCCTGCCCCTGCAGAGGGCAGGTGGCCCAGGGAGCTGGCCAGAGGGTTGGGGTAGAAATGTGGGGGGTACAGAGAAGGGGGCAGCTTGGGGAAGGGGCCTGTGAGGTATGGGTTAAAGTTCCAGGGGTACTCAGGGAAGGCGCGGCCGTAAGGACCCAGCAGGCCAGGGGGCTTGGAGTAGCCGGTGGCACCTGGGGGGCACAGGGGTAGGTCAGGCTGGGCCCCGCAACATGGCTAAGTAAGGGGGCCGCCTCCTGCCACATCCCACCCCTCCTTTCCCACTATGTCCCCCACACGGCCTCTTGCCGCCTTCAGGTGCCTCCCCCAGCTCCATCTCCCCCACCCCATTTTCCGATTCCTTTAGCACCCCTGAAAGCCCTTCTCCCACCTTGTTGCCCCCATTCCTTCCTCCCCCGTTTCCCATCCTGTGGCTTTTAAACACACACGCACACACACCCCACCTGGCCCCCCACCTGGCCATGGGCCTCCTTCCTCAAACACTCTGCAGCATCCTCCCCCCACCCCCCACCACCATCAGCTCCCCGGGACCCCCAGGCTCTTACCAGAGCCCAGGAACGGGAAAGGGCTGTCCAGACGTAGTTTGTCTGTCTCAGGGGAGAACAGGGACGTCCGGGCCCCCGGCTCTCCCAGACGTGGGGCAGAGAACAGAGTCTGCAGGGTCTGGAGAGGGAGGCGAGAGGCGGCTGCTCAGACTAACTGTCCCCCCAGGGGGTTCGTGGCTGATGGGGGGGCACCGAATGCCCCAGTTCTGGGATCCCAGAGTCAGACTCACCTCAGGGGTGAGGGGAGGAGCATCTGGCCCAGGAGCCCCCCCAAAAGGACTGGGGGTCAGCAAGAGTGGGGAGCCAGTGGCAGCTGCCGCCACGTCCAGCAGGGGGTAATTGACAAGCACGACTTTGCTGAAGTTGAACTTGTAGGTGAACCTCTTCCCTTTGGTCTTATGGAGAATCCGCTTGTTGTAGTAGTAACTGTGGGGAGAGGCACGTGGTGCTGGGGGGACACCCAGGGAGGTGAAGGGAGGGCTCAGCACAGTGCACAGAGCACAGCAATTTGGGGAAACTGAGGCCCACGGAAGTCCCTTAACCAAAGTCACAGGGCAAGAAAGGGATCAGGCAGGAGCTGGGATCCTGCCGTGTGTGACTCCAAAGCCCAGGACTCGGGTCCTTCTTGCCTCCCTTCCGCTCATAAGTGATTATAATAGCTGCACACACAGAGCCCTGTGCCTGGGACCCAACAGAACCTTGTCCTGGGACTTGGAAGGAAGGCCCCAGGGGGACAAACCAGGGAGAAGGAGGTAGGAGCCCAGGCTCCCAGCCCTCCTCACCGCAGGGCCCGGCTCAGCTTGTCGTAATTCATGTGGGGCTTGCACTTGCGGATGCCCCAGAGCCGGGCCACCTCGTCAGGGTCCTTGATGACGAATTCCCCGTAGTCCCCCTGCCAAGCGATGACACCCTGGTACTCTTCCTTCTGCAGCAGCTCCAGGATAAAGTGCCACAGCTGGATCTGCCTCGAGCCGGGGGACGACTCTGGCTTGTAGGCCCAGTCCGGGAAGGCAAACCCTGGGGACAGAAGGCAGGGAGTGGCACAGGGTCAGGACACCAAGTCCGGGGCTCTGAGTCCTACTGGACTCAGGAACCGGGAGGCGTCTGGTCCTCCTGACTCCAGGTCTGAGGAGCAGCTACCCAGTCTCAGGTATCTTCAGGGACCTGGTTTCCACTCTCCAAACCTTCCCTGGTGTCTAGTCCCCAAATTGTCCAAATAGTAGGAGAGAACCCAGTCCTACAGGGACCCTGGGTTGGTACTTCCAGCCTGATCCCCTCCCTGGGCACAGCTCCCCCAGGCACATCAGGGGTGGTGGGGGAGGGGGACCAGGTCTTGCTGCACCCATATGGTGGGAAGGAAAGGGTACTCACCCCACAGCATTGGCCCTTCCCTGCTGCCCCAGCCTGCCCTGGGAGCCTCTGGTCTCTCCTGCACCTGGAAACCCCCTGCTCTTGCCCCCATTCCCCAAAGCCCACCACTGACCCCACATCCAGGCAGGATCTATGTGCACATCTGTGTCTGCAGCTGCCTGTGTGCTCGTACCTTTTACAACCCTGCATCCCCTCCCTGTGTCCATGCCCATGTCCGTCTAAGACCCATCCAGATGAGTGTGTGTGTTTGTGCACACTTTCAGATGCCCACAGAAGACAACATGTCACACAGACATCCACTCACCCGCCAGAGACTTTCAGCCACGCCATGGGACACACACACCAGAGTGCCACACTCCTACTGGGGGCCACCAAGGCTACATTCCAGACACAATCTGCCCAAGACACGAGGTCACGTCATCTCAATACACATTATACACTCGTCACGACACACACAATTACACATCTCAGGCCCCTCAGAACTGGGGCCCGCTGTATGACAAGAGACACAGGCAAGATCCCAAAGGCCTGGATAACAACAGTGTGATCAAGGCAGTGAATGCAGCACCAAGACATTCCTGTCCCCAGATACACAGCCCGACAGCCACACACAGGGTGACACCATGACAGCAGAGCAAACCTCCCCAACCCACACGCAGGCACACACGCGTCAACGCTCTGACACATTCACCATGCATCACATTTTCACACTCGGGGTGTCCTGTGCCCCCTGTCCACATACACCCAGAAGCTGGGCGCAGTGGGGGGCGTCTTGCCCAGCCCTGAATCTCGCCTCCCACCCGGAAGGCCCAGGCTCTTGGTCCAGCCTCTGTGTTCGCTCCCATGCATGCCACATCCTCTGTCCCCTTCCCCTCCTCAGAGACCCCAGACCCAGGCATGAAAACAGAAGGCAGAATTAGCCTATAAAAAAGCCGGGAGCAGTGCAAGAATGAGGAGGAGGCCGTGGGTTGGGCAGGGGACAACACTGAGCTGGGGGACCAGGGTCCTTGTATCCACTTGCTGTGCGGTCACAGGGCAGGTCCTCGCCCTCCTCGCCGGCTTGGAAGTTCAGAGGTGGGGGGCAAGGAGGAGCAGCGCCTGGTGTGTAAAGGTGGGTTCTGGCGCCTCCCGACCCAACCGAGTGCTGGGCAATGCCAGGCAGTTCCCTCCCTGAGGGAGAGTTTTTCTCAACTCCTTTTGGGGTCTTCTCAGGTGCCAGGGCGCAGTAAAGACCAAGCCGTGGCTCATCCCACACCCCGAACAAGTCCTAGTGGGGAAGCGACTGTATCACAGACACACCCACACGACCCCAAGAAGACAATGCAAAACCCAACCTGGAAACACCACCTATCCTGGAATCACATCCTCAAACGTGCTGAGAGACACAGCCAGAGAGGACCCCAGCCTCAGCAGGCGGGCAGACACACATTGTGACAGCCCCAGTGCTCACACTCACACACGGACCTCGGGCTGAAAGCCAGACACAGAGCCCAGGGACGTGTCCCCCTCTCCCCCCCCCCCGCATTGCCCAAAATGCCGAGACATCATTTGGAATGCCACATACCACACGACAGACCTGCGAGAAACAGGCGAAGCCTCTTCGCCCGACTGGGGCAGGGGCACACTCGCGTGAGCTGGCAGACTCCCCCAGTCCTAGAACGCAGACATGCCCAGCCCAGCGACACTCAGGTGGCCTCAGATGTGCATGTAGAAGCAGTCACGCTGCTCGCACAAAGACAGACACACATTCCCAGTGTGACCCTTCTTGGAGAAACACTGAAGTGTGACAGGGACACACCGAGAGAAAACCCCAAATAAGCAGGCACAGAGTCACAGTCTCTGCCGTACACACACACGCACACGCACAGACACACGCTGCACACCAGCAGCGCCTGGGACCTGAGCTCAGTGCGTGTCCTGCAGCCCTACCGTCCACACCCCCAGTTCTGAGCCTCCACTTCCGAGCAAGCCTCGCTCTCTCCAGCTCCCTCTCCCCCAAGCTCAGGCCGGCTGGGTCACATCTCTCTCCACAGCCCCCTGCCTGGGTCCTGCCGTCTGTCCATCTGTCCATCCTCGCCTGGCCTAGCGCCCCCTCCGGCCCTAGTCCCTGCTCTCTCCGCCCGCGGGTCCCGTGGGAGCAGGCTGGGACGACTCCTCGGCCCCTCTCTGCCCTCCATGCGCGCCCGCCCTCCGGAAAGCCCGCAGGCCCCAGCAGGAGGTGGCAGGGAGATCTGGCTGTGAAGTTTTGAGCCAAGTTTTTCATGAAGGGGTTTGACTGGGGGGACACCCACGGAGGCCGAGGAGATGGACTCCGGGACAAGTGTGAGCGCGCAGAGATAGAGAGGCGGCGCGGCTCACTGGGGAGAGGGGGCCTGAGGGCTGGGGGAAGGGCTGGGGAGGTCCGGGCCAGTTACCGGGGGTCCAGAGAGCCGGCAAGGCGGGCGGGGCGAAGAGAAGGTCGGAGACACAGCTACAGTCCATGGCGGCGCCGGCCCTGCAGAGGCCGGGACAGACACGGGGACGGGGACAGGACAGGCAGGAGAGACAGACACAGGTCAGCCAGCAGGGGCGCTCCCAGGGCTTCCCCCTCTCCCAGGTGCCCCCCAGCCTGACACCCGCGCCCTCTCCCCCTACATCCCTCCTGGCCGCTCCCTCCGCGGGCTCCCTCTGCCCGCTGGTCTGCCGGTCCCCGTCAGTCCCCGATCAGCCGATCCCAGCCTGAGCCACCGTTGCTCCCCTCCCAGCCTCTGCTCCCGCAGCCTCCTCCTCACTCCGGAGCCTCGATCACTAACCACCGCCCCCAGCCTCCCTCCTCGCCAGCCACTCGCGCGCTCACACTCGCTGGCTCTCGCGCCCGCCCGCCCGCACCGGCTCTGCTGCTGTCTCTCTTCCCCGTCTCTCCCTGACCTCTCAGGTCGGCGGTCCCTGCGTCTCTGGGTCTCCCTCTGTCTCTCTCTGGCTGCCCCAGATCTATCTCGCTGCGAAACTCACCCCACGCCCGCCCCGCCCGGCTGACCCCCAGGCTGGCTCTTCCAGCTCCGCGCAGCCCCGCGCATCTGGGGGCTCAGACCTGGCAGCAGCCCAGGCAGGCTTGGGGACAGCCCCAGCCTCTGCCTCTGTCCCTGCCCCACACACCCTGAAGGGCAGCCCCTAGCGCCCCAGTGAGCACTCCCACAGACCCCCAAACCTGCTGGCCACCCGAAGAACACGGCCACTTGGATGTGCCTCCCACATGGGCACCCCGTCCCTCAGATCTGCCTCCCCCCTCAGACACGCCCCAGACACCCCTTCCCCTCAGATCTGCCTCCCCCTCAGACACCCCCACAGACACCCCTTCCCCTCAGATCTGCCTACCCCCTCAGACACCCTCACAGACACCCCTTCCCCTCAGATCTGCCTCCCCCTTAGACACCCCCACAGACACCCCTTCCCCTCAGATCTGCCTCCCCC